TTTTTCTCTCGAAGAAATTGAATCAAAATCAAATTTCAAATATCAAAACACGTTTAACTTGAAAAATACTGCAAGTACATAGTTTGAGAAAGGTAGGGAGAGGGAGGTAGTGGCAGCTCAGCACTGTTTTTATTTGTTTGGGTCGTCAGACCTGATGTTCTTATTTGCAAATGCCGAAAGTAGTCCAAACTCCTCGAAGCGGTTACTTCCCTTCATATGTACATTAATGCCGAAATATTAAGGGGAGATCACTGCATAAAGATTGTCAAATGACAGGCGCATTAATTTTTGTAACGAATAAATACACGGGGGGGGGGGGGGGATCACCTGACTTTGTATAGTAATACCCACGAGAAAATGGCGACTGCTGAGCCCCGGTAAGTACCTTATTATGTTAAATTAAGGTGACAAACGTTTCTTAAATCAAAACAAAACCTAGCGTATCATATGCGCGTTAATTTTCTTCAAATGGCAATACAAAGTGCATTATCCTACGTTTTGTGGTTTTTGAGAACATTGTTTGAATTGTGTGAAAATTGCACATTCAGCGATAGTAATTCGCACGAAGCTATATAACTTGGTACCAAAATAAAGGAAAATAAGCCTTCTTTTTGCACTTAAAGGGACACCAAATCAATCATTTTATTAACATCTGTTCTGTAGAATTCCATATAAAATTTTGTTCGAAGGTCTGCAGCCTACAAATGTTCTTTGCAAGTGTTTAGTAAGTAAAAACGAACAATATCTGGATAGTAAGTTACACAAAAACAAAATAGTAAGTTTCACGCACAGTTTCCAATAGCTTACTAAAATGTGACGAAACAATTTTATAATTATTTGGTTTCAAATTTGCAAGTGTGTTCCGTCTACGGTGACAGAGAAACAAATATCGAGAGAGTATTTTAATAATAATTCATATTATTTCATAATACATGTACATGTATTCATATTCATATAATTTCATTAAAGATTACTTAACTTAAAAAAAAAAACTCAATGAGACATTGACATTGATACTCAACAATGTACGTTACACTTGGCCCCTTTTCACGTTAGACTGGACCCACATCCGTTATCCTTAGAACTAGCTATATAAAGAAATAACTGTACAGAAGGAAATATTACAACACCATCATTTACTTTTCAGTACCTGCAATTTGGACCAAAAACGCAAAGGAGAAGACATTTCGCCATATCACATTGATATTTAATTAATGCCATCATAGAACTGGTATACCAAGTTTTTATTAAATTTATTCTTTTATACACTGGCAGATTTTTATAAATAAACCCAAGGAGTTTTGTTAAAACGTTATGTTTTTACTATACGCTTATTTTCTTACCATGTGCAAATGTGTTGCGTCGTAAACTCTTACTTTTTGTTTGTGATAGAGTAAGTAAATAAGATATTCAGGGCGTCCATGGCCGAGTGTTTAATGTCCCTGATTTTTTATACACATGTTTCTCACCGCTATGGATTCTAGTCCGACCAGAGTCCTTGAATTTTTTCATCAAACTAGCTAACAAAACGTCGGTGCTTTAACTCAGGTGTCCCGACATTGACGGTGTGATTTGAAACCCAGCATCTAAGATTGTTTTATGTAAATATTCTTTTTTTACTCCACTTGCCTTCACTTTAAAAGGTGTAAATATCTTTGACCGTTTGATTTCAAATATCCGTTTTTTCTTTAAAGGTCAATTATGCCTCTTAAATGCTATCATTTTTATTTAAAAAAAAATCTGTTTATTTTTGGTATCTTGTTACAGTTTCCGAAAACATACTCATTTGCTAGATACTGAAACTACCTTTTGCATCTTTGGTTCTGTTGGAAAATGGTATACCTTTAGTGAATAAGTATTTCGTATGGAAGTCAAAATACTACTTTGTTTACATTTTGCTACATTAACGACACATCACTTAATGTTCAGCGCTACCTTTTTCAGTTGTAATAAAATTCTAGCATGCGTTTTATCCATTATTTAAACATTATGAAACACATGTTTGACATTTCTAAAGAATTAAAACAAGATGGATTTCTGAGGCACAATGTGCCTTAATCATAACTTGAATCACTGTATCATTGTTTTTTTTTTTTTTTTTTTTTTTTTTTTTTTTTTTTTTTGTAAGAAGTTATTTTGTTCTTGCGAATTCTTCAATATATTTTCATAAATTAAGTAGCATAGTGACTAAATGTAACAAATACTACCATATAAAACATCAGCATTCAGTTAATAAACATCACCATACCAATTAACAAGCAATTATATTTGTTCATCTTTTTTCTAATTACAGTAAAATGAGGGCCAAGACACACCTGAAACTGCAGGGGTCAAAAAACTACTATCGCAACAGAAAAATAACACTGAGCCGTGTAATGTCAAATCCCATCAAAAGTTTATTTGATATATTATGATTAACCAATTAAGCATTCGTTCTATAGACAAAAAGTGAAATATTTGATCTTGAATAATTGAAATAAGTATTTTCTATCTTTTTACATATGGACTTTAACTTTCTTTTAATGTATATGTATACTAATGGAAACTGTGCGTGAAACTTACTATTTTGTTTTCGTGCGACTTACTATCCAGAAATTGTTCGTTTTACTTACTATACACTTGCAAAGAACATTTGTAGGCTACATACCTTCGAAAATATATTTTATATGGACTTCTACGATAACAGATGTTAATAAAATGATTGATTTTGTGTCTTCAGTGCAGAAAGTAAGCTTATTTTCCTTTATTTTGGTACCAAATTATATCGCTTCGTGCGAATTACTATCGCTGAATGTGCAATTTTCAACCAATTCAAACAATGTTCTCAAAAACCACAAAACGTAGGATAATGCACTTTGTAATGTCATTTGAAGAAAATTAACGCGCATATGATACGCTTGGTTTTGTTTTGATTTAAGAAACGTTTGTCACCTTAATTTAACATAATAAGGTACTTACTGGGGCTCAGCAGTCGCCATTTTCTCGTGGGTATTACTATACAAAGTCACGTGATCCCCCCCCCCCGTGAAATAGTTCCCGATAGGTCGAAGATTTCTAATATTGTGTTATTCTTATAGATATACATGCTTATATTCAGCTCAGGGTTTCAAACTCTAATTAACAATAATATGGTATTCTTTAGACTGTTCTCTTATAACTCCCAATGGTCAAGGGGTTTACACGCTCGCTTTAGAAGCGAGAGCCCGGAGTTCAAATCCCATTTCAGGAAACTCATTTTTTTAATTGATTAAGCCAAATAAACATTGAATTGAATATCAGGTTGCAATTAGTCTTATAGCCAACTTACTATAGTTATAACACTGGAAACAGAATTTGGTGACACTATACAAACAAATTGGTTTATAATTTCACAATCTTGACCTTTCTGACATTCTGAGACCCAAACAAATTCAGCGCCTTCTGTGCTTTGATTTTCTATGTGACAACATTACTGTTGAGTAAGAGGAAACTGACCCGTGACTGGTTCGAATAATCTTCAGGTTCCATCACAAGAAAAAATAACTAAACTAAAGAATGAATATAACAAGGAAATAAAATAAGAAAGATAAATTTATACAATCATCATGTATACCGATTTGTAAAAGAAAGTTTGCACTAAGTTACAAGGAATTTTTTATACTTATTAAAGCAAAAGGTATCAAATGTTGCAGACATGATAATTTACATTTAATTGAAATTTGATAATTTGTCTTTTGTAAATGCGTTTTTGTTTGCCTTTGAATACTTGAATTTATAAATGGAACATCATTTATCCATATGACGTTGCGTCAAGTCTATGCAGTACCGAACACTTTTGTGAATCCATAGATGAGATAAACGCAACAGATACTGATTAATGGTCAGTTACTAAAGGAATAAAAAACGTCAAAAATCACAATATTTCATCTTCCGCTATGCACAGGAAACCAAACATTTGATATTTATCAAATTTCAATACAAGTTCAACCATTGTATGGTAAATACAAGTTTGCAAATTTCGACACCAAATGTGCCACTGTTATTTATGTAAACAGAACTTCCCAGAAAACAAATGCAAATTTTCTTTTGCAACTGAGTTTATATAACACAATTAATTGCTGACTCATTGACAATGTTTAATTCCGAACTGTTCGAGGGATGATCCAAAATAACTATAACAATAGACTTTTGTTGTTACTAAAACAATGGTAGTAAAAATTTAAAGCATGAAGCATACATTTTATTAAATCGGAACATTTCATCAACAAGGTAAACTAAAAATGTTTAGTACTTAGGGGCCGTGCATTTCTATGGTCACTGTAGAGCATATGCGGCGTATGCACTTTTAATATAGCGGCACGTGTTAAAGAGAGAGACAATGTTTTTTTCTGTTTTACTTTTTTACTCGTTCATGCATTATTTCAATACCAATTTATACATTAGCTCTTTGGTTAGAGTTATATCCACTTATGAACACGGAATCATACAGTGAACTATATAATACAGATGTCAGCATTAATTAATTTTTGAGGATTGTGCGTTAGAAGTTCTTCCATTGCAAGAAAAATGGGACTTTAACCTGCAAATAATTTTTTTTTGATGCGTGCAAACACTGAACGTAATAAATGATTGCATACTCAGAACATCTGGAACAACTCAACTACCAATAATCCATATCCGGAGTTCAACGGAAAGGGCAGAAAAGTTGCATTTGGAGTAACGGTACTGAGCAAAAAGTCATTAGTTCTAGATACATGTATGTTATTAAAAAAATGTCGATCAAATAGTTACAGTGATGGTTCAGTTTGAAAGTTTTCATGTAAAACAATCAAAATACTATTAATAAATACTTCTATAGTTCCTCGAAAATAGCCGTTTTATGCGGTCTTTTTGAGATCTTTTTTCGTGGTAAATACTGGAAATCAACATATATTTATTAACTGTTCAAAGCACTTTTCGGTGGTCCATATAAGGTCTTTTTACCGGGAGTACATGCATTTAATCAAAATACAACAACTAACATTTATCAAATGATTTTATTTTATTAAAATAACTTTCTACATACATTCAGGAATATTGTATTGTATTATATAAGTCGATCTTTATTCCTGTATATCTGTTGTTTTTTTTCGTGATAAGTCAATTTATCCAACGCCTCACTTTAAATAAGAGTTAAACAAACATTGTCCTCCTTGTTAAACAGAAAAACACCAAACAAACATATCAATGTTTACTCTTTTCACACAAAAACAAACGTAACAAATAATGGCACCAATGATTAAATATTTACAACATCATTCAATGTTTCATGTTTTAAAAATGTTTTGCATTCCCAAAGCCGCCTCGTAGTCTCTTGCTTTCATTCTCAGTGAAGCTATACTTCCGCTTCTGTGTGCTTCCGGTGGTCTGTATCCAAAACAACCGAGAGGGAATCCTGGGATACTGTACATCGGAAACGGCAAAAATTGTGGGAATGGTGGGACAGGCATCCTTAATGATGGAGAAAGTTCTGGTGATTCGTTATCAGAAGTGTCATCGGAGTTTGTTCGTGTTTTGACAAACCGCTGAAAAGATGACATGATAAGTTCAAATTAAAGCGCTACATGGGCATGTATTGTATAACTTTTGTATGAATACAGTAGGTAGTGTAACAGTGTTTGACATTGTTATTTTTAAGGAAAGTATTTATAGACTATTTTAACTTCTAAGACACCTGACTATTGAGCTTATGCAACGGTGAGCTAAAACGAAAATTCAAGTCCGCTTCACACTGCAGAGAAATATGACGTCATATATGATATCAATAGAGAAAACGCGTTAGGAAAATTACTTCTACGCTCAACCAAAGTAGTTCAACACATTTTCTTTACATGTTAGAATGGAAATAGATATTAATATTTCTTGCATTATGGTACAATAATGTTCGAATGCTTTGTAATAAATCACTCATGGTTATATTCCTGTGCATTTGAACTCGAACCGTGCATCATTCTACATCAATTCACTCAAATTGATATCTCTTTCCTAAGCATATTATAAATAACGAAGTATTTGAACTCCTTGTAAAATATTACCGGAAAAACATCAGGTCTCATAGCTGTCTTAGGCGCTGGAACGAACGAAACATCCGTCAAATCCTGTAGTCCACCAAAGTTTCCCAACTTCTCATATTTCCTCCATTTTGCTCTGCGATTTTGGAACCAAATCTGAAAGATTATGAAATAATCAAGGCTTGAAGTCGATTTTCATAACAAATGAATTTGCAAATCGTTGCTTATATACATTTTTTCTAGTTATAGGTATATGTTAAGAAAGTGTACTTAACATTGTAGTATATGCTTTCGTCTAACTGGATATTTAATTTCAACAACAAGTTTATTCTCGCTTATATGCATTTTTGGTTGTAGTTGAAGCCATGCAGGCTCTGGCAAAGTCATATAACATTTTTCTAGCTTTTAATGGAGCTGGGCGCCCGTCTGTGCATTATTAGGACACATAGATACATACAGGCATCTGAATTGAATAACCCATTAACTAGACAGAGTAAAAAAATAAAGGTATCCAAAGATTCGAACTCATAGCGTTAAGGTCCAAGTGATTCAATGTCACTCGACAACACAATGTAAATATTACCTGAACGCGAGCTTCTGGAAGGTTTGTTTTCTGCGACAGATCTTCACGTGCGTTAACATCTGGGTAGTGCGTCATTCGGAACACCTCCTCCAGACATTTTAGTTGTTCCGCAGTGAATGTTGTTCTAAACCGCCGTTTCTTTAGGTAACTGTCGTCTGATACTGAAATGTTAGGAGCACACACCTCATAAAAACTTTGACAATCATATTTTTTTAATAATTTGAAACAAAGAAAGACATTAAAACGATGCAATTGACAAAGCTTTAACAAATGATACTAAATAGCAAAAATTCCTTTCACAAGTGTTTGACCTGACGCCATGCTTTCTTTTCATCATAGAAAGAACAAGTTATTTAAAAACTGATATTATCTGAATAAAACGATGTCTTTAGATTTACCTGTAGAATTGGACGAACTTGCAGACGGCGTTGGACTGTCTCCATTTCCTGTATCTTTACAGAGATTTTCATTGGACGTTGATGTCACGTGATTTATGTCAATCGTTTCAGGGCAATCGTCTTCATTCAAATCTGAAAATATTACTAAAACATGAATCAGGTGCTAAATTACCTAAACCAAACAACAGACAGCAACTGCTATGTTAAAGTTACATTGAGCATTCTACACCCTGCTCAAAATCTACTGCACGAGTCACTTTCGGAGTTATAAATAACATGATGGTTGGAGAGGGTAGGCACAGATTGCGGCTCAGACTCGCATTATTTAAGACCAAATAAACTACAAAATCCAAAAGGCGTTTATAGGAATTCTTAAACGATTGTTTATGCTATCAACAGTAATTTACTATCAAATCACACTCTGATATTACTTATAAGCAAAGCATGTATCAGATATACTAATAAGATATTAACAAGTTCCAAGTGCATGTAAATTTCTTTGTAAATAGATAGCGGTTTTGGCCGCCTTTTTATCAATGAATTTTTGCAATATTTGATGGATGAGCTTTCAATTAACACATTTTCTAATCCAGATATATCTGGCAATTGAGATAAAAGTCGCTATATCAGCCCGCAAGCACACGTAATCTCCATTAATACACTATCACCCTTTGATTATAATTTAGAAATTAATACCCGGATTGATTGAAACTCTTAACAAATAAACAAGCCCGTTATTCGTCCCTCGGTTACCGCTTTAGTGCGAATTTAATTGAAAATTTCATTGAGATGAGAGAAATAGCAAATTTATTAGTATACGTCTTTGTCAATATGAAAACTTTTAAAGAAAATGTTGGAGTGTTCGTCAAGATTTATCTTGTCAGAAATTGGTGTTTCAATTACCTAACACGCCAAGTAAGCCTTTGATATAAAAGCTTTGAATTTATTTCGATCTTTGATTCTATTAGTTATGATAGTAATCAGTTGATATAAATCTTAACTTTTTCAACATGAGTCGGTCTTTTTTAAGATACTGTTAAACAATATAAATATCTGACAAGTTTAAAATCTTACTACAGGCACGTTTCATGCTATATTAGCTTTCAATGTTTTCAATTATTCACGAAAAAATGGTAGAGAAAGGTTGATAATTTATAAGCATAAAATTTAAACATTTTCTTGCGTCTCGAAGTTATTTATAAGCATAAAATTTAAACATTTTCTTGCGTCTCGAAGTTATTTATAAGCATAAAAATTAAACATTTTCTTGCGTCTCAAAGTTATCATTCAATTTTGTTGATACAGCTTTTTAATCAAAATAGTCTTAAGTTCTAATTCCTTGATATAATTTTACTGGCTTTACTGAAATATATAACGTATTAATAATATAATTAACCTTTGTAAGATGAATTTCAATATAAAAAAATTGAGCTACCAACAAAACCGACTGCTCTGTGTATGCTGGTCTGTTAAAGGTTAATACATTTCCAGCAGTTTAGTTACAATTAGGATTTATATAGTGGACTCTATATGATACACATGTCACTTCTTCTTCAAACTTGAAAATAGGACGCACGGTCCTTTAAAGCTCTTTATTCTTATTTATTTCTGTCTCATCAAATGTAATTATTCTTAACAATATACGTCCATTTTTTGGTTTAATGGAAATTTGATATATATGAATCTTCAAGAAATCGGACATGAATGATGTGCTTATCGTTGAATTTAATTTATAACATTGCATATGTCCATACATTAATAAACAATATCAAAACATATTGATATATTTCAAAAATAATGTTACAATACATATCAATACATGTCAAAACAAAAAACTGAATAATATCAATACTAAAATACTAACGCTAACATTGTTATTGTCTATTTTAATGAAATGGATTCCATGTGTATTAAAGTCTACACTTTTGTTTTTCATTATTATTATTATTATTTTATTAAAAACTTTAATAATGAAATGGATTTCATGTGAGTAAAATCAACACTTTTGTTTTTCATTTAAAAACGATAATAATGAAATGGATTTTATGTGTGTTAAAATCTACACTTTTGTTTTTCATTATAAAAACCTATAATAATGAAATGGATTTTATTTGTGTTAAAATCTACACTTTTGTTTTTCATTTGAAAAACTATAAGTAGATTGCCCCTTGAGAAAGGAAAAGAAGAAAAAAAGAAACCCTATAACATTCACTAGTAATAAACCGGACTAAATCCCTTTAGCACATTAAACGTGGATTTATTACCCTCCCTACTGTGAGTGTGCTGTAAATTAAACATTTTGTACGATTCACCACTAACAAGTGTTTTCTAATAATCTTAATCGTTTAAATTACTGCCTCAAATCTTTTGAATTATTGCACGGATTAACTTGCTCAGGAAACGGTCGTGCTTATAGCGTTGTATTTTTCATTTTCGCCGCAATAATTTGCTCTTAAAACATTTTGAAAGAAAGATCACTTTCGACAAGGGCCCTACATTAAAACTGCACAGCGTATTTCACTTCTTTAGATGTACTTACTGTCCGAGTTATGTAGGACGCGTTGATTTTGAAACATCTAAACATTCTTGCGTTATTACTTTATAGACAAAAATGTAATGCCTAAGGACTGTTTTAATAAAATAAAAAAATATAATGGTATAAGATTATAATATTTAAGAAAACGTATAATGTGTAAAGACTACTTTAATAAAAGAAAAAATGTATTGCCATAAGACTATTACATTGAAGAAGACTTCTGTAATAAAAGAAAAAATGTAATGCCATAAGAATATTACATAAAAGAAGACTTCTGTAATAAAAGAAAAAATATACTGCCATAAGAATATTACATTAAAGGAAAAGTGTAATGCCAAAAGACTTCTGTAATAAAAGCAAAATATAATGCCATAAACAATTACATTAAAGGAAAAGTGAAATGCTTAAAGACTTCTATAATAAAGGAAAAAAAATGTAATGCCATAAGACAATTACATTAAAGGAAAAGTGTAATGCTTAAAGACTTCTGTAATACATTTGTAAAAGAAAAAATGTAATGACATAAGACTATTACATTAAAGGAAAAGTGTAATGCTTAAAGATTTCTGTAAAAAAATGAGAAAAAAATGTAATGTCATAAGACTATAACATTAAAGGAAAAGTGCAATGCCTAAAGACTTCTATAATAAAAGAAAAAATGTAATGGCATAAGGCAATTACATTAAGGAAAAGTGTTATGCCCAAAGACTTCTGAAATAAAAGAAAAAATGTAATGCAATAAGGATACGCGTATTAGAATATATCTAAAAAAATATAAAGATGAAGAATACGTACGAAAAATTATTTCACTTAAAATACAAATATCTTTAAACGTAAGTAAAATTGAAGAAAAAAAATGTTACGGAAATATAATATCTTATTTTGGAATTTTGATAATGAAAATCTCCTACGATATATTTTGAGTTTGGAAGCTCTCCGACATTAAAATTCATGATAAGATGAATTGACAAAATTAGATCAACGAACGTCCGTTTATTCTAGATGTAAAAAAGTCATTATTACACACTTTGTTTTTGTTAATATTTCTATTGTTTTTGTTAATATTATTATTATATTTGCTATAATAATTTTTCGAAGATAATATACAAAAGTGTATTTATTTGAAAGTTTAATTACTAAAATGCGCTCGAAAACATTCTGCAACAAACTTCCTATACTCAACATCACTAATTGTTTCAAGGTAATGGCATATTAACATGAGACCAGGGTTAAAATTTGTCAGAATTGACATATGTTATTCATACAGCTAAACAACAAAGTTTTTGTGCAAAATATTTTAAATCTCTAGATTTTTACGTTAACATAACAACATTTTACAAATTTCATCAAAAGCAACAACAGTCTATTAAATTTGTGTATACGTCTGAAACTATCATTGTTTTCTAAATGTTCTTGTTTGTTGAAAAACATTTTGAGTTACAAGGTAAAGATAGTTTTGATATTTAAAATTAAGCAAAATGGCATGTAGAAATTTTAACTGAAACATGAAAAAACTTAAGTGTAACACCATTCTCTGCGATTTAAATGATGACATACTGTTTTCAAAATGGCCGACATATGATCTACGTCTGGTCCATTAAAACTAATTTTGACTGAATACACTGTTGTTTCCTTTTATCATACAGCAGAAAATACCCATATGTTACAGCTTATGACAATTCATGTATCATAAGTTTCATTTGTTATTTTCTTTCTTGTTACAAAACGTTAAGTACCGCGAACTAATAGAAGCACGGTGTACATTACTAAACAGTTTTGTCCATTAAGAATTTCGGACACATTTCTCCTCCAAACTGTTTTCTGTTTCGTTGTTTTGTCCCTCATTTCTTTTGTTAGTTTTGCCTCGTTATTGGAGCTTTCGTCATTAAATTTATGGAAAAACATGCATAGTGTATCTTACATGTTCCTTGTAAAGGTAGGACAACATTTTTGGCGTTAATACATAACCCATTTGTATAACAGTCATGAGTTAATCAAATAAAACAATGATTTTCAAATTATATCAAACTGTATGTGAGTGTATGTGTCTATGGCGTTTGGTTTTTTTTTTGGGGGGGGGGGGTGTGGCAGGGGAGGGGGTTAAAGAATATTAACATAAAGGCAAGCATGTTAAATGAAGATATCTATCTGACTCCCTTATAAAATGTCGAAGATGATAATTGAACTATCATATAATTGCCTGTTAATCTGTAACGATAATTGATGATAATAGATGCATGATACCTCGTTTACAAGGTATGTGCTATTTTTAACTTTTTATACATCATTATTTTGTTTAAAACGACGTTGGTCATTTTTTCGCCTGAACCTTTTTTAATGGAAAAAACAACAAAAAAAACCACAAAAAACATGTATTCATACGTTTTTGACTGATAAGGACACAATACGATAATAATCCTTCAAGCATCTAAAATGAATTTTGTTCGGCAACGTTTTATGCTTTATACTTAAAACCTCTGTCACACTAGAGCGGCGTTCTCACGGCGTCCAAAGAAAATTCAGAACGCCGAGGTAAGCGCAGTAGAATCGCAAGCATCGCCGCAGCATCGCAATAGCATCGCAGTGGCATCGCATAGAACGCCGACCGACGGCGCGCATTTTGAGCATGCTCAAAACAAACGCCGTCACTCGAAACGCGTTCTGAAAAGAGCGCTGTAGGATCGCAGTAAGAACGCCGTAGCAACTCAGTAACATCTCCTTCAACGCAACAGGAGCGCCGTGAAAGCGCAGAAGTATCGCCTAATAAACGCCGTAATTAGCCTCGGCGCTTGAACGGAGATTGCGTGTGTACGGCGCTTTCACAGAGCTTTATTTTTTCTAAACGCTCTTACTGCGACTCTACGGCACTGTCATGGCGACCATTGCGCACTCAAGACGATTCTACTGCGTTCATCTGAAATTGCAGAATACCGTACCATAGAAACCCTACTTAAGACCACACAAGAATTAAGACCAACCCTCTAATTAGACCCATTTTTTAAAAGAACGGAATTTTCTGTTCGTAAATTTAATGGTTACATGATCCACAATTAAGACTACCCCACTTATCCACATTTAAGACCACCAGCTTTAGTCCCAATTAATTGTTTTTTTTATCTAACCCCACTGTTGGGACACCTGATATTCCAGTAAATACCTATTCAGATAACAAGGATTTTGTTATTCATCTGCTTGAATTCTCAAAAGCATAACACTCGAAACATTGTGTTAAAACTGTTATGATTAGAATATTGTATAAAGGTAAAACAATAAATTTCAGATTGGTTTACTTTTACTTTCTGATCATTTTTTGTGACAAATTAATTTCTTAATTATTAGGTGAATTATGTACATGAAACAAGACCTATGAAAATATAATTTATACATTAAATATCGTCAAATTAATGTACTAATTAGGATTGATAAATATTATAACATCAGTTTATAGTAATATTTGAAGGTTATAATATAATTGTTTCAACATGTTTATACATAATAATTCAAATAGAGTAGTCATGAAATAGAGATGCCTTGACAGTTAATTATATCCACAATAAAGACCACTCGCAATTAAGACCACTTTAATGCAGTCCCTTTTGTTGTATTAATTGAGGGTTTTCACTGTATATAAAGAACGTGAATATCCTTTTAACCATGTATGATGAACGGCAGCAAGCTAGAATACTACTTGCTTGCAGGTACACGACTATTCAGAACTTGTATGTGAAGCACGATTTCAGCTCAGTGTGAGCGCCGCAATAGCGCCGTGTGAGCGCTGTGAAAGCGCAGAGGAAGCGCAAAGAACGCAGTAGAAGCGCAGTCCAAACGCAGACAATCGCCAATGAAAAAGCCGTAAGAACGCATTGCAACGCCGTGGAAGCTCCTTAGCAACGCCATGAAGACGCCGCGAAGTCTCCGTGTCATCAAAAATATCAGATTGTTCTTGCGATCTCGCGGCGCTTTGAACATTTTAACAACGCTGTGCAAACACAGTAAAAGCACAGTCTAGTGTGACAGGGTCTTTACCTCTTTGACCTAGATTATAATAAATTGTTCTTTTTCTTTTTTTTGTAAATCTTGGTCGAAATGGTTTGACAGGTAGATAAATAATTTATTACATCCATCAGCGGAGAGAGCAGTCTATTTGTTCGACTATCTGTAGTAATTTGGCTTTTGAAAAAACTAACCAACACGTTATAGGAAAATGGGGATGCTTACAGGCCAGTTATGCCTCAGAAATGCTTTTAATTTTATTTCTCAAAAGCTCTTTAATTTTTATGTACTTTTATAGTATCCATAAAGTTACTACTGGCCATTAACCTGATTTTTCTTTTTCATCTGTTGGGTTTTGACAATAAGTACAGTTATAGTGAATTAGTATTTTGTACGGAAGTCAAAATACTACTTTAGTCACATATTGCTACTTTTATGACAAATTATTTCACATTTATTGTTACATTTTTTTCAGGTAATAAGCGTCTTACATTCCTTAAAATAATTATTTGAACATTATTAAATTCACGTTTGCCCTTTCAAGAGAAGTAAAACAAGTTTGTTTCTGAGGCATGATGTGCCTTTTCATTGTTTTTCAAATGATATATAAATTGGGAATATATACAAACATATATTCAAATCTAGTTTCGTTTTGCGTTTATAATAGTTAACTATTCAAGAAAATTTTATTGCTCTGGTAAAATAATTACAAGCAAGAAATAGAAACATATAAATATGACAATCTTGTATAAGTTCCATTTTAAAATCCAATAATAAAATGACATGCACAAAGGATATCTGTAAAATTAAATGAAAACAAAGCTATCATTTATCTCATGAAATTGCATTAAGCTAGGAACTGACGAGTTTCTAAAATTTATTTGCCTAGATTTCATTTTTATTGGACTGTCCATAATAAATTTTGAAGATATCAAGATTAAAATGAAAAGTTAATTAGCCAGTAGCGTTTAGCCTGGCTAGACTGCACGGAATGATTTAATCAATTTGTTCTATTGTGCTCAGATACTTTTCCAAAACTAAACGTGAGCAAGATATGGTAGTTTTATTTGTTTCAAATTATAATATGTATACGAGGGCCTTGTACAGTGTGTGTCCACATATACCATATAATAATAACAATTAAGTATGAATAAATCAATTATAAATGCATCTGTATCGTTTTTATTTCCATTTAACTTTGACGAAGAATAAAGGTAGGGCTCCTCATTTTAGAAGAAAGAGATAAATCCAATAATAAAGTCATTTCTGATCTAAGTACAAAACATATCTTACGCATGGCTGATACTCATTGCAGCACAATTGCCGTAGTTGTGATATATGTGGAGACATTTGTAATCAACACTTTTCTTTATAAGATATATATAAAACATATATTTATTTTATTTATGTTGTTGTTGATTCCGTTATCTTAAATTGACACACCTGGCTTTTTCATGTAGTATCATTCATATATCAATTAGAAATTAACAGTAAAATAAGTGGATATAATTTTATTTGAATCTTATTTTATTTTAACCGAATAATACGAAAATGATAATGCTTTCACTATTCACAGGAAAGAAATTTAAATAAGTCTTTGATTTTGTTTTCGGACCTGCATTTTATACAATGTTGCTGTACATAATTGAATATTTTGAATTATGTGATAATAATACCGCTTAAACACCAATGCATTCCGAACAAAATTAGTGTAATAATTGTGTGAAATAGTATATACAGATAATGCATTCCTATAATATATAGTACAGGTGAGTAAACAGGAAATGATGAACGCAAATATAAAGAAAAACATTAAAAATTATTTTATTCATTTTATAAACATTCTAACAAGAAAGAAGCTCGACTTTTTATATAATTCATTTTGTTAATAATTTATATTCTGTCATTATTATAAACATTATGCCCATTCAATTATAAATTGTGGATGCACTTGTAAAAGTAAAAATAACTCTAATTTTAGCCGAAATTGTGTTCAATTTTATATTTTGCCATGCAAAAATGATGAATAATCAACGCGACCCGCGAACATACTTATAATTATCATTCGGAATGTATCTGTAGCGTTCAATCTTTAAAAGAGTGGGACAGTCTTTTATAATTCGGGTAGTGTTTATATTTTATCATAAACAATTTTATTATTAATCATTGGTCAATCACTATTATAAAACTCATTCTTTTGAAATACTAGTATATATTTAATTCAACTCAACTTGACAGCAAAAAAATGAGCATTATGTTACTTCCATTAATGGGTATGTCCCTTTGGCTTTAAGCTCAGATACTGGTAAGTGCAAGCAATTTTCGATGCACTAATAATTTCAAATAAACTTTAAATAATGTATAAAATTGGCTCACAAGCTCAGTGTTAACAAAATATATATATATGTACATGATTTCTCATTGTAAACATAAAGATAACTAACAAAGTACTTGATTCTTCATAATTAAAATAGCTTATTATATATATGTCACCTTCAAATCAATCAACATGCATATCTCTTCCGACAAAAAGACGACGAAAAAAGACGAAGAAAGAAAAGAAAAATGCAATATAACTTAACCTACCGTCTTTAGTATGTAGCCTGTGTTCGATGACATTCTGTGTGGCGCTTTCTTTTTCTTCAATCTCTGTAGTAGCGTTTTTATCGGTAACTGTTTCAACAGCGTCTATTTCTGTTATACTTGCATCAATGTCGTCTGTTTTGTTTTCTGTTTCAAAACATTCATCAGTTTCCTTTGTAGTGGAGTCTTTCATCAGACGACCTAAAATCATGTCTATCGAATACCTATTACCACATTTTGATGACAGTTTCGATCTTTGCAAAGAATCAGAATTTATCGATTTTGAATCCATCTTTTAGACTAAAGGCACTTTTCTTTTCTCAAAATAATTATGTCAAGTTTAAACACTTAGAAAATTAAGCGCACAATCTTCCCCGTTGATAATTCAATATAGCCAAAAATTGTTTCGGTTTTAGAGTAAAGAGATTCACATATCGTTACAAGTTTCTTTGAAAGTCTCTGAGTTAAAATTTCAAAAGAAATTGACAGTGCTGACTATTTAACAATTGAATGATACATCTACTTAATGGGCCATTTCTAACGCGCTTTTGTTTGATTTTGGGTGTTTAAGGGCTCATACATTATGCCTGTTACTGATAACAGATCAAATCAAGGCATCATATTGGTCGCTTCTCATCTGAAGGGCCGTCTGAAGATAATTTGGGGTGTTAACATAATAATGTCAGTGGTATTAGTTTAAGTTAATTTCAGTCGACTGTATTAAGGATATATATCTCTATTTTCACTTGGTGCAGATGTGTAAATCTTTGTTTTTGCAGATTATTATAATCACAGAAAAGAACGTAAGTGCACCTCCCGGGGAGAAAATTAATTTACAGTGAGCGCGGCAATTGAGCGTTTAATGCTTTAGTCCCGTCTTACAAGACACAAAGGGAGAAATAGTTTGAACTCCTACATTTAACAAATAATGATCAAACAATGATTGAAAACAATAAGAAGCAAATTTATAAGAAAATGAATTGATATACGGACACAATTTAAAAGATATAGAAGATGTATTGTTTTTGATATTGTTTTTAGACACACGATGCTCATCTTTAGGTAAATTACTTTTATTGCAGAAATTTATTGAAATCTGGTAAATTCTTCCTTGTCATAAAAAAATGTCAGTTTTTATAAGAATAAACCAAATTAATTTGACAAGTAATAGGAAATGCAGCTTCCCTACCATAGTATATACATTCACTTATTCGAATACTGTGATTACCTGTAGTGTGTAGAGTTTAAAAAGTTACATATTTTCTCTATGTGTATTCAAAAGATGTCTATTTTATATTTTGAAAAGAGACTGTATAGTTATTTCTTTTTCCCCCAAATATTAATATTTAACATAATATGTCAGTAAGCAAAATATGTATATAATGATATATATGTGCTGTTCATGAGACATATCATTAAGTTTCAAATGAATTTGAGAAGGACATTTAAATTACTTTGAATAGAATGAAGTAACATTACAATGATTTTAGAGTAGTGTTTCATAAAACGGATTATTTTAGCTTAGCGTTAGAAATGAGTAAATTTTATTGTTTCCACTTTGATTTGAATAGGGAAAACATTTTAACAGTTGTGGTATTTCCGTTGTATTTATTCCTGAATATCATACGTAGCTTATGTTTTATTACTCATATTTTCTTTTGATAACAGAGTGGAATAAATAATTAAGCAATGCTAGTCCACTTTAGAAGTTTTTATTATTCCTTCTCCAAGAAGGTAAAACTTTTAACTACCGCTTAATTTTTTTTAACTTTTAACTTGCGGAATGCGAGTATTGGAGTTTCCCCGCAGTCTATTCAAAGTTTAGGGGATTTCAAAAGCAAAATACAAAAAATTATGTGCCAACATTGTTATAAGCACGGAAGAATAAGGTGGATTGGCTCTATACTGGTGGCAAATGCCAACAACTTTCTGTTCCGGTTAACATGTGCGTTAATTTATTCCATACGCATACTTAACTTTAAATTATAAAATAATGTTTTGAACAAAATCAGTTCAATGGTTAAACAATTACATGTATTCAAATTTAATAACTTGATCAATTTATCATCTCTACATCCACTCAAAATTAATTAATTCAATGAATAAAAATAAATAGAAAGAAAGAAAGATAGATAAAATAAAAGAAACAAATAAATAAGTGAGTGAATAAATGAATGATAAATAAATAAATAAATAAATAAATAAATAAATAAATAAATAAATAAATAAATAAATAAATAAATAAATAAATAAATAAATAAATGAAAGAGTTAGTGTATTAATGAATGAATTAATAAATATAAGAAAAAATATAAATGAGTAAGTGAGTGAATGAATGAATGAAAAATAAATAAATAAATGAATGAGTGAATGATTTGATGAATAAATGGATGAATGAATGAATGGATGAATTATTGAATGAATAAAATAAGTGAATGTATGAATGAATGAATGAATGAAAAATAATAAATATATATAAATAATTAAATTGATTAATTAATTGATAAAACAAATAGAATGGAAATGAAATAAATGAAGGAATGAAAAGAAATGAAATGAATGAAATGATTGAAATGATTGAAATGATTGAAATGAAATGAAATGAAATGAAATGAAATGAAATGAAATGAAATGAATGAATGAATGAATGAATGAATGAATGAATGAATGAATGAATGAATGAATGAAATATTTAGAGATATGGTCATGAAAAAATTCCTAAATATTGTTTTTTTTTTACCCCAAATAAAAAAAATCATAGAATATATACTTTGATATGCTTAACTGCCAAATTCTTGAGAACACATTTTTTCTTAAATATGCTTTATTGCTAGTACACGTATGATACAAAAATAGAATTTTTCATTTAATTATTAGTTTGTGACAATAATATGGCCAATTCCGACGAACGGAAAAATTATAACCTAAATGTTGTTCCTTGAATATTGTCCCTGCTGATTCGTAGCCGTTTTATCAAAACTAAATGTAAAGTTCATGTGAAATTGACAAAATGGCCACAGAAAAAACATATAAGATTATCTTCACACACAAGTTGTTGTTGCTTTTTATTTTTTTAAAAAATATTTTTCGTTTTTCCATTTTTATATTATGTTGGAATTGAAAACAAACATAGAATATAAACTCTTTTGTTTATCATTTTAACTTCTTAAACATTCTTTTTATGTCAATAAGCTTTTATAGAGATGGAATTTCTAATTTGCCGTATATAATTAAAAACGCTAATTTGAATTTGCCGTAGCTTTCGGCCTTCTTCAGCGCCATTTACTATACATACAGTAACAATATGGTTTCCTTTTCTATATATAAGGCATGCATATAATAAATATGAATATATTTGCATGTATAATGAATGCCGCTGAAGAAGGCCGAAAGCTACAGCAAATTCAAATCAGCGTTTTTATTATACGTTTTTATATATGTGTAAAGTAAACAGAACAGATATATGATTACAATTATACATATGTAAATCATCTCCATACATAAACATCAGTCATAAACATGTCACATACCTAGAACATAATTATTACAAAAGTTTGATCATATATTCTACATGTATTAGCATATCAGAATATAACCATTGGCTGGTATTTTCAAACTTCAGTTATTTGTTAAAATGCTGTCTCAGTAATATAACGTAGAAAAAATAAAACCACAAACATTATCTGAAACCAATAAAACATAAATTTTAAGAACTGGGAAGATTAATACCCATTTAAACTCAAATACAAATTTTCGAATATCTGTTTATTGCCCTTAATTTGTGAAGTATTGAGCCCAGGTGGTTCACGCGGATACATGACTGGGCTTGAGAACATACAAGCCAGCACACCTGTAGCGAAACCTATTGTTTTAATGTGCCACTTGATTTTATTAACGACCGCTACTTTAATTTAAACAGGGAAATCAAATATTTCAATTTTCAAGTGTTCTTGTCATCTTGTATTGTTGTGCAGTTATTATTAAAGCGGCTGTAACATAGATTCGTTGGTTAAACAACCCCATTCAAACAATACAGATTTCATTCATCATCTATAACGGACTCGATTAAAGCGCATTCTTTACTCTTCAGTCTACCGGGGCCTCCGTGGCAGATTGCCTCTTACGGTACGAATCCGGAAAGGAACTTTGTTTTACAATAACAACATATCAATAATACCTTTACAATAAATAGATACATATAAAGCTATAGAGCTTTAAAAGGACTTTTCCTATGTTTATATTGTAAAAAAATTATATATAAATATAGTATATGAAGTATGAAGATGTATGTATGTATGTATGTATGTATGTATGTACGTATGTACGTTTAGATGGATGTATTGAATTAAATTGAATTGAATATTGTTTAAACTAAACAATATATCAAATTTACTTATTTAACACTTCAGGATCGACGTTACTTGTAAATGATTGTAAAGAATATTGCTTTTTAAACTGTGAATGCTGAGATGAAATGAGAAAAAAGAGAAGATTTGGATTATTTTATCTATTAATACACTTGTTACTATATATAGTAACAAAATTGCCTATGATTTCAACTGATTATGATTGTCACGTGACCAATTATGAGTTTGCGGCCCGGGGCCGAGAACTAGTTATCAGCCCGCAGAACATGTGCACGTGCACAAACTGAAACAATGACGTCATATTTTACGTCATGAAACAGTTAACTGTAAAAGTGAAAGTAGGTTGACAGCACATCGTATTTAGTACAAAAACATTTTTGTTACTGTTGAAATTTGAAGAAATAATACGACAAATTCAATCCGAAAAAAAAAATGAAAATAAAACTTGCTTCTTTGAACACACAAACAGTAAACATCTCCGTACAGAACACAAGAATTTCAACCAAAGAACTTCAAAGTAGATTTCTATTTGTTGTTGTTGTTTTTTTTTCTTTTTTAAAAATGCTACTATAAGATCTACCAAGTGTATTAAAGACATTAATACACGTCAGAGTAGGGCCGGAAGGTGATAATCGGCCCTGAATGAATAATGGCCCTCGGGCTAAAGCCCTCGGGTCCAAAATTCATTTTGCGGGCCGATTATCACCTTCCGGCCCTCTCCTGCCGTGTATTAACCTCTTAGTATTCGCGTACATCCACATAGTTGCCCGGGGGTAAGTGTTTCGGACTCTGTGTATCGATATTGCATGATAATATTATCAATAATTAGATATTCAATGACATTAATGTCAATAAACGCTCGAAATAAATGTGTCACCAATTTGATTATAATTTAAAATCTCGTGGCGTCATTAAGGGAAATAAACATTATGTTGATACATGTAATAATGATATAAAACTTAATCATTTACTTAATAAATATAAATTAACACAGATATCTTTTTTTCCTGTCAAAACAATGTAAACAGTATTTTTGCATACCTGCATTTCAAATACATGAGACAAATACATTATATGGATAAATATATAAACTGTTTAGGGCAACACTGTGCGAATATTTCAATGTGAAAAATTCATTTCGGCTAGATAACGAATTATAGAAATAAAAATTATTAA